CGGGTGCTGTTCCACTTCGCCCGGGACTGCCCCCCGTCCCGCCCCGACGTCCTGGTGGTGGTGATCTCCATGATCAGCACGGCGCCCGTCCCCGTCCGGAACATCGTCTTCCAGTCCGCCGTGCCCAAGGTAAGCCCCTCGGCCCGGACAGAGCGAGGGGATCGCTGGCTGGCCGTGTGTAAGGGGTTTGCGTGGAGCCCCTCGGAGGGCAGTCGCTGGGAATAAGGGGGGATGTAGGCGTGGCCCAGTCGCTCTGATGCTGTGGCGGTAGTGTGGCGCACAAAGCAGAGCCCAGCGATGTCCAGAGCTCCTCCATTTCGTGCTCTTCCGTTACTCTGAGCTATGTGGTGTAGCGCTCTGAGTTCAGGGTGTTTGTCGGGGTCTTGTCCTGCGTCTCCTGCTCCTGCGGGTGATGAAGATGATGCCTCTCAGGGCTCTCCTCTTGTGTCCTCTGCCCAGGTGATGAAGGTCAAGCTGCAGCCTCCCTCCGGGACCGAGCTCCCAGCCTTCAACCCCGTCGTGCCTCCTGTGGCCATCACCCAGGTGCTGCTGCTGGCCAACCCGCACAAGGTCAGGACCCCCTCGCCCGGCCCGTGCACGGCCCGGCCCGACCCGGCCCGGCCTGGGCTGACCCCCTGCCCGCCCTCTGTGTCCGTGCAGGAGAAAGTCCGGTTGCGGTACAAGCTGACCTTCACCATGGGGGAGGAGACCCACAACGAGATCGGCGACGTGGAGCAGTTCCCCCCTCCCGAGAACTGGGGGAAGCTTTAGGAGGACGGACGCACTTCCGGGTCACCTGGGCACCACTTCCTGTGCGTCTCTCTCCCTCCCCCCCCTATGTCTCTGCCCCTCCCCCTCATCTGTTACACTGGCAGACTGACTCCCTCTCGCCAGCCTCTGCCCCCTTCCTCTCCTGTGGGGTTTATTTATTTATATTGTTTTATCCATTTCTGTGGTTCCGGTTCACTGTTCTGGTGGGGTCTTGAGGGGTCTGTGTGTGATGCAGCGGGTCTCCACAAGCTGGAAGTTCTCTCCCTGTCGATCAGGGCAGGTGCGCGCAGGGAGGAGTCGTTTGGTGCCGCTTCGGTTCAGTTCAGGAGCCGCATCAGAAATCGGTTTCATTCTCTGGTCTCCTGTGCGGGTGCGAACGGTGTCGTCCCCCACTGGGGATGCGGGGTGGTTTGGGGTACGATGTGTAGCAGGGGGCCTTGCAGTCTGATCGCGGCGCTGAGCCATAAGGTCTCCCAGCTGGTCTTGCGCATGGGGCGCCCTGGCCTCTCTGAGATGCGCGAGAGAATCTGTTGCTGCAGTGGACGGGCCGAGTCTGCTCCGCGTGTGCGGTCTTCACGGGGAGAGCTGGGCAGCGGTGGTTTCCGAGTCAAGGAGGGGGGGGTTGTCGTTAGGATGGCCAAACGTTAGGTGGGGGCGGAGAGACCGTCCCCTCGGTCCGCCCCCTGCGGCCAGCGACGAAGGAAGAACCGACCTTTTCTGCTCTGGGAAACGATTCCACCCCCCCACAGTCTGGACACCGGTCTGAGCCCCCCCCGCCCGCGCGGTCGTCAGCGCTGAGGTCTCAGTGAACGTGATTGCCGAATGTGCCTCTTCTTTCACGTTGTGTTTTGCCGTTTTCTGTACTAACTTGCCTCTTGCTGTTCTGTGTGTGTGTGTGTGTCCGGCTGTGGGTGCGAGTGTGTACAGGAGCTGAGGTCTCCTGGGGAAATAAACACTGGTTTAGACGCCACGAGCAGGCAGGACTCTTCTTTCAGCGCGGGAGTGGTCCCAGGAGGCCTGGGCTCGCTCTCCCGTGTCCCCGAGTCCGAGCGCCTCGTTTTCCGCTCGCGCCTCACGTGCGTTCCCGACAGCTGCACGCGGGGGCGGGCGTTCTCTGGCGTACGGAGAGGCGAGTGTGGGAAACCAAGGGGAGTTCTTTTTCCTGCCGGAGCAGCAGTGGGAGCAGGATGTTCTCCTGTTCCTCCCGGGCTGGACAGGAGCCTCTCGCTCACCTTAATTCAGAACTTGACAAGGAAAATGCATTATTATATATATATATTTTAGCTTGAAGTGAATCAGTGTCACAAGAGGTAGGTGGTGTGGGGGGGTGGGGGCCAGCAGCAGGTTTTCTGGGCTTGTTGAATGTGTGGAATCTTTAAATCTCTGGAAGATTATTACACTGCTGTGATTGAGCTTTCACGCTGGACTGCGGCTCTCAGGGATCGAGATTTGGGGGTCTTGTGTGTGAGGTGAAGCCTTTCTGTTGGAATGAAAACCTCCACAGTGCCCCGGGTGAATTCCCCTGGGGCGAGGACTTCCTGCAGGAGGTCAGTCACCGGGGGAGGAGAGGAGAGGGGGGGGGTCCCTACGAGAAGCACCACCTTTCTGATTTCACGCCTCAAGCCTTCCTCGAGCTTTCCCTTTCAGCTTCAGCCTGACATCCTCCTCCTCCTCCTCATTTAAACAGCGGTTTGTGGGCCGCTGCCGGCCTCATTCTGCTCCAGCACAGCGGGAGCCGAGCTCCCCGAGCCCCACAGACCCGGCACAGAGACACTAATCCCACAGCTCCTCCCTCCTGCCCGTCCAGCTGTGACTTTGTAAATATGTGGGTATGGCAGATTATGTACATTTACCAAACAAATCAACTAGTGCAAATATGTACTTAAGGGAAATAAAAGTTATTCTTTCTCTTTGTGGTTCATTCTTTCCCTGTCTTTCTTGGGGTGGAGGGTGGGGGGGGTTTTGGAGTTGTTTGAAAACCACCTTATTCCACCGCTGTTGGGGGCTGCCAACTACAGGTTTGCAGAGCTCATCGGCAGCTCTGCGAGACCCCGAGAAACAGTGATGGGGGGTAAGTGATGAGTCATGGAGGCTCTTGCCTAGCCAGACCACCCCGAAAGCTGTGCAAGTGCAACTCTTGGGACGGCCCAGTTAGTGACCAGCAGGTTACTGGTTACCCTGCCAACCCTGGGAGAAGCACTCTCGAATCTGCACGCCCTCTCAGAGCTCAGAGGCTCAGAAGGAAGATGCACCCCTCTTACAAACGTGATCCTGACATTGTGCCCAGCCTATGTTAGGGATGAGAATTAAATCTAAAAACGTACAAAGATGCAACAACATGGCAATGGATCCTTCAGTGCAGTTTTTCAGGAACACTGAGAACTGACTTAAGAGCTTGTACTATTTTACCAAGAGACGAAGGCTGCTCATCTATCAGCCTTTGGACGAGCTCACAACACACTTGGGGAAAAAAAAAACCCGAAAAATCAGATGAAATGGAATGTTTGTTTTAAAAAAAACAACCAAGATAAGTTTCCAAAATTTTTATTAAAACCTGAAAAAAAAGCTCCAGACAGTATCAAAAACAGATGCGCCTTTAAAGGTTCAGCTACACAGAGGACGATTTTTTCTTTTTTCCCAAAGGCTTGGAGAGAAGGGCACTACTCTAACTCCCTTCAACACAGCACTTGAAAACAAGCAGAAGCAAAACAGCACCTACCTCTTGACTTCAGAGAGCGAACAAAAAATAATGCCGTTATAACCTTCAAAAATCAATACACGGATTGTTAGCAAAGTGACAGGAAAGTAACTGGATATAAAAGGGGGCTTCTCGCGTCCCTACCTGGTCCCTGTCACAGAACACACTGAGAGGAGAAAATAACACGTACATATACAAAATTCACATCTGTTCCTCACGAGGGAACACCCCAGACATCCTACATTCAACCTTCAGGAAGTGTGGAGAGGGGAACGGCAAAGCAGAGTTTCTGAATCCCAAGGTTTCTGAGGACCGATTTCTTTGGCAGTCTCACTACAATTCCGCAGGATTAACAAGTCATTTCTTTTCCCCAACTGTGCCATTTTTTTCCTCCAATCAAAAAACGTGTCCTTAACACAATTGTTTCTCTTCTTTCAAAAAAAAAAGTACAAAAATGGCCAGAAGTAACACAGGAACAGTTTCGAGTCTTCAGCAGAGAAACGCTCAACTTCCTGTGAATCACAGGCAAGAGGTGCCTCTGCAGGACCTACAAATCCACCACACTGACGAGCAGATGAAAAAGCAGGTTACTAATCTGCACTCAAGGTTATTCACTGCCATGACAGCCCACGGAGCTCAGAGAACACCAGCTCCCTTCAAGTGCACTTGCAGAACCAGTCTCTCATTTAAACTGGGCCCTGGTGACCTGAACCGCCCACTCAGAACAGCCTTAAATCCAAGGTACCGGTCAGCAAAGAGTCACCTGCTCACCTGTGCTTTCTGCAGCCAGCTGAGAGCCCCCGCTGCAGGCTCTGCCCTCAATCCCAACAGAGCTCGAGGCACCAGACTGCGGGCTACGAACAGTTCAGGGCCCTCCCACTTCAGCAACAGAACGACACCACCGAACGCACAACAAACGCCGCCCTAGTCCCCAGTCCCGGGATCGCATCACATCTGACCCCCCAAAAAAAGAAATCACGACGCTGGCCCCTTTTAGAGTTTACTCAGAGGCAGTCAAAATAACAAGAGCAAAAAAAAAATCACATCCTGACTGGTCACAACGACCCCCCCCCCCCCCCCCACCACTGTCACCCCCCCAATCCCCGTCCTGCCCCCGACGCTCCCGTCTCCCATTTGAATGTTGAACGCAACCGAGATGTACGGGTGTCCGAGATGCAACAGTCTCTGTCTGGGCTTGGCGTCTCAGTCCAACAGCGGAAGTCGAGACGCCAACTGAGGTGGGGAGCCTCCCCCACCCCTTATTTCCTGGGGGGAGGGGGCGGGGGCGGGGGCGGGGGTGCGAACTGGAAGGGTGCCTGTCCCATGAAGCCCATTATGGGCTGCGGGGGGGGGAACTGCTGGGCCATGAGGGGCTGCGGCCCCGCGGGCGGGGGGGCCTGGCCGGCCCGGGCAGCCATGTTGCCGAACTGCTGCTGTTGCTGCTGCTGCTGCTGCTGCTGTTGTTGTTGCTGGGGCTGCTGCTGCTGCTGCTGCGGCTGGGCCTGGGCCTGGGCCTGGTCCTGGCCCCCCGCCGCCCCCGCCCCCGCCCCGCTGTAGCCCTGGTACTGGTCCCCGAACCCGCCCGCGGCACCCTGGCTGCTCCCAGCGGCCCCGTAGGTGGGGGTGGAGTTGGCGCCGGTGCCGAAGGAGCCGGCGTCCCGGCTGTCCCTGCCCCGGTCTCTGTACGCAGAGGACGAGGAGGAGGAGGAAGAGGAGCGGTCCGCCCCGTTGTGGTCCCGGCTGCCCCCCCGGCTGAAGCCGCCGCTGCTGCCGGAGCCGGCGCTGCCCCCGCCGCGGGCGTCCTTGGCGGAGTTGGCGCCCCCCCCGACGCTGCGCATGCGCCGCTCACACTCCTCCTGGTACATCAGGTTGGGGTTGTTGGAGTTGGAGCCGCTGCCCCGGTAGCGCGAGCGGCCGCCTGCAGGGGGCGACAGAGAGCAGCGCAGCGTCAGGGCACCGCACAGGCGAGGAGACCACTCCCCCCCGCGCGGGGAGAAGGGGAGAAACGGCTCTCCCACTGCACCTACTGCAGGACCTGAGCTGCTGCGGCATCCCTACAGCCCACAGCTCACCGGCTCACGAGCGCAGCTGGAGATCGGCGCCCGTTTTTCCACATGCCAATTCCCGTTTCCCCGCTTGTGGCCCCGGCCCAGAGGAGCTGGGATCGACCCGGCCTCAGGCCGACGCACCCCGACAGCCCACCCCAGCTGTCAAGGACACCTCGCTCTTATTCTCCCCCGTTACCTCCTCCCTCCCCCCCCCTCCGGCCACGGTGCCGCCCTACCTCCTCCGCCCCCCCTCCCGGAGTCCACCAGCTGCAGCAGCTTGGGGTTGATGGCCTGCCGGGCCTCCTCCAGCACGCGGATGAGCTCGCGGGCCTGCCGCAGGTTGCCGGGCGTGAAGAAGGTGTAGGCCGTGCCCTTGTTGGTGCTGCGCGCCGTGCGCCCGATGCGGTGCACGTAGTCCTCGGAGGAGTTGGGGTAGTCGTAGTTGATGACGAACTTCACGTCTTCCACGTCTTGAAGGCGTCAATTGTTGTTTTTTTTTTGTGTGGGAAAAACAGAGGGGGGGAGAGTAAGAAAAGAGTTAGGGAAAGACGCACGACCGCGTTTTACAAGACAGATCACTCGAGACGCCAACGTCAAGCACTCAAGAGGTGGCTGCGAATGACAAACGGCTCCGGGACCGAGCCCCTTACCACACCGAGGTCGACACACCAGCCCCTTCAACACTCATCTGTCCCCTCATGTGTCTCCGACAGCTGCACAACTTACCTGTACCGAGCAGACCCCCTCGCACCTGGCCTGTCTCTGCGCGCACACCTCGCTCGTCTACACGAGGCTCGAGCTCCAGGAGGAAACACTAGCTGCCCCTCCGAGCCCCGACAGACAGTCTGCACGCAGTACTTACCTGCTGCCACCGCAGAACGAAAGGCAAGTGCTCCTGTTTTAAAGAAGGCAGGTGCGGCTGTCGTGCAGGAATGAGCGCACGTTTTTTTTTTTTTTTTTTTACCCTGTGCTTGAAACGACGCGCAAGACCATGGGGGCAGCACACAAACGCGTGGAGGGTGAAAACCCCGCGTCTGAATAGACGTGTACTCGTGTACAGGAGCTGACTGCTGCAATTTTAAAAAGACTTTCGACCCCATCTTGTGCCATCCTACACCAGACGGCTTCTTAAAAATGCCACCACTACTTCAAATCCCGTTGTTCGTGCCCCTAAACCAGATATCATCAATGTATTCAATGATGAATATAAACAACTGGTCATGTTTTTTGAAAATCTATTATCAATATGGCTCCCCATTGAAGGTGTAAAACCCCAATTCGTAAAACCTGGACCTTAAAGGGAAACCTGCAGTTTAACAGTGTTAAAATACAGATTCCTCCCCAAAATGAGAAAACAAGTCCCACACACAAAAAAAATTAAAATCCAGAATTCCCCCCAATGACGGTGAAAATCTGTATCCTAACAGAGTTAAAACACAGATTCCCAGCGGTCAGAACCGGCCCGATGAGATCAGAGACATTTCTACAGCACAGTCCACAGAAAGACGCACCGCCACATGGTGACGAGTGCAAAGCCTTGCTCTTAAAAGGTCTGACGCCCTCTTAAGAAAGAAAACCCAAACCTCTGTGCATGAAATGACCCTGAAATGTGTCCCACAGATGTGGACCGCGCTGCTCAAAGCTCAGTTAGAAATCGACACCACCTTCGGTTAAGATCTGCACCGGTGCTTCACAAGGGTCCCAGGGAACCGCAGAGCAAATCTCAACAACGGAGCGAGACTTTCCGAAAACTTCCAGGGTGGAATTCGCGGGCTCCCGGCCCAACAGGATCGGCGCCGTCGAACAACTCGCCACCCCCCCGCGAGACCCCCCCACACCCCACACCCGCGGGCCGAGCCCCCCGCGGAGCGACACACACCGGCCTCATGCTTCTCTGCGCTCCCCTCCGACTCAAAGGTTTTGCGACATGATGGAGGTGGCCGGAGGAAGGGTGGAGTGGTGGTGGGGGAGGTGCTGTCTTTTCTCACAGCACTGTCGCGACCCTGCTGTTGGTTTTTTTTAAGGCGATGACAGTGATAGGAATATGAGGGGGGGGGCGAGGGGAGAGAGCCTTTTTTGACCTTTGACCTTCTGGCACCGGTCGAGCGTCTGTCTGCCTTCCCGTAACGCCCCCAAACCACGTGCGTGGAGGGCCGAGGGGAGGCCAAAC